TATGTATATAATCAAAGGAAAAACTCGTAGAAATAGTTCAACGATTCGATCATGAATGCAAAGATAAATTTTTCTACTCTCGATTAAACTAGTTATGGTTATTGGTACAACCTAACAATTTATGTTTTCTTACTTGTTTGATAATCACGACATGATCTCTTATGCTTTCCATAATGAACAAACAACCCTTAATACGACCGTAGGATTTTATCTATCAACAACATAATCTAGAAGGACCATCAATTCTAGCTAGCAAAGGCACATGTATGTTCATTTAGACTAGATCATATATTTCCCTAGGATACAATCTAAAACGCTTAGTAATCGACTATGCTATTTGAAAAAATGTTTTCGGTTTGGCTTTAAATCGACAAACTCCTTACTCCAATTGGAACTTACATGGTGTACTGGAGTAGGAATAAAAAGATAAGTGTTGTTTTTTTTTATAATTTATATTTCTAGATTTGAGTTATTTCTAATTAATTTATTTATATATAGTAAATCATGAGAATCAAGGAAGGACACTTACCACGTGGAGCAGTTGAACTTGGAAGGAATAAATCATCATGCGAAATGGATGCGGATATGTGGAAATCTACTTACCATAATTATGCAACCCGAAGACGTGTGAAGAACTTACCATGTTGGAGTTAACTTGCGATTAAGGACATGGCTAAATATGGAGAGGACAAAAAGGAGGAGACTTGTCATTTTGGCAGTGATATAAAACACACCTTCTCTGAGTTGTAAGATAGAGTTTTTGCGGTTTTAAGAATCACGTTTGATTGAGAGGATTGTGAATAGTGTGTACTCTGATTGTCTTTTCAGAGTCTTTATTTTTAATTTTTATTAAAAGAGAAGACAAGAGCTTGATCTTGATCTTCATGAGCATAATTGTTTTCGGAATATTGTATAAGTGTTTGGGATGAACACTTGAAACAACAGAAGGGATTTTTTTTGGAAAATCCACAAAGGAGTTATGGTCGGAAAAGTAATTGTACAGGTGATTGCATTATAGGTTTAGAGGAGTCTTATGTATAATTTTTAAGTGTAATAGGCCAAATATCTATGAATGAAAGAGTTCTGAGGGAGAGCGAGATGCTCACCTGAAGGTTCATGTTTTGTATGAACCAGCTTCCGAAATTGTTTGAACGTATATTAATTTTATACATTGAGCGAAATTCTAGTAATCCCTCAAAATTTCAATTGGCACTAGAGCTGGTTTTCTTACGTATATATGAAGATATTGAGGATCTGTTAACGAGCAACCATGAATCACGATGGAGGATCCATGTCTAGACCTCCGCAATTGGATGACTCGAACTACTCATACTGAAAATCAATGATGGCAATCTTCTTGCGATCTCTTGACAAGGGTGTTTGGGAGAATGTGGAGAATGAATGAACTCATCCGATCACGAAGAAAGCACCAGACAGTGGAAGAGACGTTGCAACTACAACCATTCTTAAAGTAAGAGATCAGCGGCAAGATGTTGAAAAAATGCAAGAAGAAGCAAATGTACGAGCCCTATACGCAGTTCTGATTGCAGTTAATCAGACATGGCATAAGATGATAGTTCAGTGCACAACTACAACAGATGCATGGCGAATTTTAGAGCGTCAGTTCGAAGGTTCCAAGGTAGTAAATTTGTCGAGGCTTCAGCGAGTGACCGTGGCTTTTGATGACATCAAAATGAAGGAGGATGAAACCATTGATATCTATTACTCCAGGTTTTGTGATCAGGTGAATCAAAGTGGTGCTTGGAGAGGAGATTTCTAAGGCACGTCAAGTTCAAACAATCATGAAAACGCTACCCCTCGCTTCAGAGAGAATATCATGGCTCTTGAAAGTTCCCAAAGAGTCAAGCCACTTTATCTTTATGACTTCCTTGGTGATCTCAGAATATTTGAGATTAAGAACGAATAACAAACAAGGGTCTAGCCCTTAAAACCGCAGTGGCGTCAAAAGCTGAAAAAAGTGATGAGGATGAAGGTTCACTCGAGGAAGATATTGAGTTGAAGGAGGCATTTGCCTTGATTGCCAGAAACTATGGCAAGATGCGTAAGAAACTATACAAGAACAAGTTTGCTGGAGAAACTATACAACAAGTTTGCTGGGAAGAAGTTCAATAACAGCAACATGAATTTACATCAAGAGAAACAAACCCAAATTCTCTCCTCCAAATCAGATGCTCAGAAGATTGAGAAAGATCAATGCAAGAGTGTTGAGGCTATGGACACTTTGAGTATGAGTGCGCAAATCTCAAAAAGAAAAACAAGTCACTGAAGGTGACTTGGGATGATTCGGATGAAGAAGAAGCTGATGAACCTGTATCTTATTCCAACAACATGACATGAGTTCATGCTAAAGACAAATATATGTGTCTGACATCCACTCATAGTCCCTCAAAATTTGAGGAAGGTATAAACCCTTCTCAAACCCTTAATTGTGAATCTAATATCTCAAAAGATGATGAAGATCAAGATACTTGTGCGGATTCGATTCACTTACTGCACATGGAAAAATGCTTACGAGATGCTGAAGTGATGAAAAATCTTCAAAGTCAAGTCAAATCTCTTAAGGCTCAGGTTCAATTAAATGGATCAACTGAAGAAGTTGATTATTGGAAGAAAGAAGTACACAAATTAATGACTCAACTATTAGATCATCCGATCTAATACTACGATTTATTTTTATTTATTTCAATGAACATTATTGTCACCAGAACGTGACCATATATATATATATATATATATATATATATATATATATATAAGAAAATTTTATGCACAACTCATTTTTCTTAGTCACTATTTATTCTTAGTCAGTATTTAATATCTTGTAAAAAGAAGGACTCACTATTACTAAATCCCGAGTTAAGACTAAATACAAAGTATTAGTTTCTACTTATTTGATGATTTCAAATTAACTCACACCCCTCTAATTATTGTCTTTACAAATGACGAGTATGTTTTGACAATAGCTGCAAACCTAATGTTCCATATGGGAGCAAAACGCATACAAATCTTAAGAGAAAAACTTAATAAAAACCCTAACAAATATTTCTCTGTGAATGACCACATCTTTATCACAAACCATAGTTGATATTCATACTAAAGTCTAACTCAAAACTGCTTTTCATGTAGTAAAGCCAAGTTGAACCTGTATAGTATCTATGTTGCCCTTTACAGTTTTATTTTTAACTATTTTCTTATAATTGTATTTTTCTAAATAATGCAGTATTAGTTTTTTNCCTTGTAAGTTGGTGTACAAGTTAATCCCCTCACCAACTTTATTTATTTTACATGAATCGTTGTTCCTATGCAAACTTTAGTTTATTTAGCTGTGGGGAGCTTAACAACAACTGGCAGCCCCCTCATCTCCGCCTGCTGCCCGCGGCTCGCTTTGCTTCTCCGGCTATTGGTTGGGTAGGTGATGGGCGGCCTTCTCTTCTTCGCCCCACTTGGGCTGGTCGTGGGTTGGTTCAGCAACAGCGAGCTCTTCTTTCTGGTCAGGATAACTTTCTCCACTTCGGATCTCTCTTCAGGATATAAGCTTATTGGTGCATAGATCTGGGCTCGAGTTTTGCCTTCACTTCAAATTTGTTTAGTCATTCGAGTTCAGTCCGAAGTTCTCATAATTGGAGCTCAATGTTTGTGGGTCACTTTTCACTTTTAGCTCCCAGAAATGGTCTGTGTGTTAGCTTCTGTGGCAGCTGTGGAAGGCTCGCTAGAAGCAAGGGGAGGTTCTATTTTATTTTTATTGTAGGTGTGTGTTGTGTTTAGTGTTTTGTTGTAAACCTAAATTTGCATCATTGACAATAGCTCAATCTTGGTTTGCCTGATAGGTTTAGGGAATATTTTACTCTATTTGTTTGTTAAGTGTGCGTAGTTTTTATTTCTCTTGATTATCATTTTGTTGGTTCAATTATGTCTGACTTGAGTCTCCTTTATGTAGTTGGAGCCTCATTTATGAAGTTTTTGCTTAGTGTGTATCATTTATAAAGTTTGTATCCCCTGATCCTTGATGGAAGTTTATACCCCCTTATTCATCTGTGTAATTCCAAAAAGGTAGATCCAAACTCTATTTTGATTTCAGTGGTGTTTGTTGACATCTTATTATTAGTAAAATTATTGTTTGACAAAAAAAAAGCAATAACTCAATCCTCGTCTTTCATCTCTTTCTATCTCTCGTCTCTCTACCTTCCATTTTTTAGAAACCTAATATATCAAATATCCATACAACAACAACAACAACAACATACCCAGTATATTCCCAACAGGTTGAAGTCTGGAGGGTCAGTTGTACGCAGACCTTACCCTTGTATTTATACAAGGAGGCTGTTTCCGTAGCGACCCAAGGTGCATTGCGCCGTTTGATATATATTTTTTTTTTTCTAGAAACTTCACTAATATATCAAATATCCATCCATATCATTGTTAAAATAACACAATGATCCAGTGCAATCAATTGGTTTGGCAGCCCCAAACAGGAAAATATCCATTATAAGGGCACATGTAAAGAAAGCAACGAAATGGACATTGCACAATCTTCAGTTAGATAACAAGAAATTTAAAACCACAGTACCACTCCATCATGTCCCAAGAACAAAAGATGAAAATAATGTATTGTTACCCCTGAACTTCGAATGGGGACACTACACACAAGTGAACAATGTTTTTCAACTTCATTAATTTGACGAGTCGAAAGGATATAGTTTAGTTGCTGCCACCTCCAAAAAGATATCCCAAGGAAGATCCCCCACCTGGGGCTGCATGGACTTTAGTAGAAGGTCGATCCTGTAATCAAGAAATGGTTCTCATGTGTCATTACCAGTCAACATTATTGCAAAACAGAAAAGTATATTTAACCACAACTACTTCACCAAAGTACACAAAATCAATAATAATTATACCATCTACAAATTTGTGAGGCTATTGTCTATACTAAGTTCTGTAGCCAGAAATTTTCTCCATTGTCTTAATTGCTCTATCCAAATCCAAAGGGCTAAAATTTATTTTAACAACACAGTGCATACTTTATTGTCCTATTTCAAGCTCCTCCACCTGATTCAAGGAACAATTCATGCCATATGCCATACATACGAAAGCAGATAAAGGCGATATGAACAATAATTTTAGTTTCATTATTCAAGCTTATCAGTCAAACACATATCCTGAGCAGCGAGCAAGTTCTATGAGCCTGTTTTTCCAATAATATATATTTTTTTCATGAAAAAGTGATTTTAACAAACACAAAGCCGAAGACCGAGCAATCATCTCCAGAACACAAACTAAATTCACAATACCAGTGCAAGAAAATTAGCAATACAAGTATTAAACTATAGTCATACGCAAGAAATGGCCGTAACTTAAAAAAAGAGGATAATACGCATACCGTGAGGAAGTTTCCAGTGTTCTGGCCATCGGCTCTGAAATAGTTGTTGTTGTGGTTGCCCTGAATGCCGGCCGGAATCTGCTTAGTAGCTTCAGCAGGTAGTGCAACAGCTGGCGGCTTATCTGGAGTCACACGACTTGCAGCCGAGGAAGGCTTCTGTACGGGAGGAGGCTCTGCATTATTTGTGGCAGGTTTTGGAGCCGGACTTTCTCCACTTCCGAAAAGGTAGCCCAAGGAACTCTGGCCCCCACCATAGCTAACTCCACGACCCATTAGCACCTGATTTCAACTTCTGTCACCACACTGGAATCAATCTCAAATCTCCCAAAAGTGAGAATAATAAATTGAATTAGAAATGAAGATATCATTGTTTGACTGCCATCAGAGAGAAGATGATGATTCTCTGTGATCCCANTGGATCAAATACTCAAGTAAGGTTTGTTATTTCATCAATAATTTCAACCGGAAGAAAGCCATTTTTTGGCATTGGCTGTTTACTCTATCATCTGCATTTTTTCGATTTCTCAATTTGGATCACCAGCAAGTTTATAAAACTCTCCACAATATAAATAGAATAATTCAAATATATATAGTGTATATATAGAGACAGTAAGATCGATTCACATTTCACTAACAAAACAGTAAGATCGATTCACAATTGCGGGGATGCAAACGTTCAGAACAAATACGAAACCACAGAGAAAATAAGAGAAAAATAGAGGAAACGTCAAGAAAAGTTTAAAAAGGGTAAACGTTAACAGAACCGATAAGACTGATGTTGCGATCAATGTGTCTGCACAAACAACAAATTTACGAACTGAAATGGCAGATCTAGCGGCGAAAACAGCAGAAACACGCATCAATAATATACGAGCAGTTTATGTACCACATCAAAATAACAACACCAAAAATGAGAAGGAAATTGAAGAATGGCCGACCTGTAGTGAATGATCTGATCGGATCTGCGGAGTAGAGAAAGGAGGCGATGGGGGTCAGAGGAGAAGTGTATTCTATACTGACACTAAATACAAAAGTAAATTTGAAAATGAGATTTTTTTTGTAAAAACCGAACGGGTCAAGTTATAGTTCAATTGTTCAATGGCCGGACTAGTAGTGTGGTTGAACCGGTTGAACTAATATTTTACTTATTAGTATTGCTAAATATATAATATTTTCTAATAAAATTTATATATAAAACTTTATTAACTAAATATTAAGCTAAATTAAACCGTTCAAATACTTAAACTAACTAATAAGAACTTATATATATAATTAAGATCATATGAGAATGGTAGATAGTAAAAATAAATTGGTACCATTGAATCCAGCATATCAAAGATCATGATCAAGTCAAAATTTATATATGGCAGCCAAGCATGCAATGATAATTTCGTAAATAATATATATTTTGTGGTCAAAGATACACATTTGACAAATAATTAAAGGTAATTTGAACATTGCACATTTACCACACATGGCAGGGGGCCCCAGGCCCCAAAACACATAAATACAGGTCATCTATATGTCTCTCTCTCTGTATCTATCGCTGCAATCTCTCTCTCTCTCTCTCTCTCTCTCTCTCTCTCTNTNTNTNTNTNTCTCTCTCTCTCTCTCTCTCTCTGTGTGTGTGCGCGCGCGCGTGTGTTCGTGTGTATCTATCACTGCATTTATTTGTATCTCTATATCGCCGACATCTCTCTCTCCCTCTCTTTCACCATCGCTCTCACACTCTCAGGGCGGTGGAATCACGCACATCACAACAGTAAAACAACTTCAGTCCACCGTCGACGTCATCCTCTCATCGGCATCCTGGCCTCCGCCGTGTAACTCGGCGCCGCCGACGAACCAGCATTTCCGACGATTTCTTCGCCTCCAGCTGTCGTCTTCGGCGTACGCCTGCGCCACGACATCGTTTCATCTTTTCGGTACCCGGGCTGAACACGAGAAATAGGCTCCCGCGGAGAAACTGACGTGTCGTCCGTCGTCCATATCCCCCGCTGCATCTTCTGGGATGTCACGTTGTTGTGCTCGACGTCGCCGGGAACTGAAGAGATCGAATAAAACTCTGAAACAGTGGTGGAGGCATCTTCTAGGGCGGCAGTGGGTGGTGGCACGGCCGTGGATGGACGACCGTCGATTAGTCGGAGGTTGGTGGTCACAGGCGGGGAAGACTGTGGGTAGGAGCTGTTTGGATCTTGCGATTTGTTTTTGAGAGTTTAATAAGTTAGAAGGATTTAATAGCAATTTTATAAACTTTGGTATTACAATTGAGTTCGACGGTTGAATTTGTAATTAATTAAAATATAATTAGAATTTTAACATTTCATATTTTAATGTATTTAAGTTGAAAAAAAAAATATTATTTTTACTAAAGACATAAAATAATAATTATAATACTTTTTTACTAAAGATATATGTATAAAAATAATATATCTCTTTACAAACAAGATATATATTTTTAACAACTTTTTTTTTTGTTTTGACAAAAAAAAAATCTGATTTTGAACTATAATAACAGAGTTTTTTAAAAGTAAAGAAATACAATCGAACCATAAATAAAAGTTTGAACTAATCAGCATTGTCGACATTGTGCAATCAAACAATCATTAAAGTGCAATTCATACAACTCTAATGTGCTCCCGCAATATACAAACATTTTAAAAAAATAATAATAATATTTTTTCATATTGTGCGAAATTACATAAATTATGTCTTAAAATTAGTACATAACCCGTAAGGTGAATGTAACTGATAATAAATTGCATTATATTCATTTAAAAATAAGTGTTATTTAAAATTTTTATTCAAAAATTCTATTTGACTACAATGTGATTCTATAAAATAAATATTTTAATAAAAACTTATCATATATTTAAAATTATACGTAAATAATAAGTATAATTATAAAATTTATATTGTTTTATTAACTAAATGTTTTTATTTTTGTATAACAATCCAAATAAAAAAAAAAATAAGTAGTTGAGTACNCAAAAAAAAAAAAAAAAAAAGAAATTTCGGTCTCTTATTAAGCATGATCTCATTTATGCCATTAAAAGCTTCTTTGAGAACGGTTTATTTCTTAAATACTGGAATCATACCATTGTTACTTTGATTCCAAACTGTGTAAATCCTGAGTATATCTCTCACTTCTGACCAATTAGTCTCTGTACAGTGGTTTATAAGGTGCTTTCCAAACTTCTAGCAGTGAGGCTTAAAACTTGTTTGCTTACTTGTATAAGTGATTTTCAGTCATCTTTCATCAATGGTAGACAACTTCTTGATAACGTTATAATAGTACAGGAAGCTTTTCACTTCCTTAAAAGGCACAACTCGGGGAAAAATCATTTCATGGCTCTTAACCTTGACATTGTTAAAGCATTTAACCGTGTGGAATGGCTCTGTGTTAGGAAGATTATGATTCAGATGGGATTCTCTCCAGCTTTTGTTAACCTTATTATGATTTGTATTACTTCTTGCTCCTACTCTTTTAAAGTCAATGACAGTCAGTGGGTATATGCATCCTTCCAGGGGGATTAGACAAGATAACCCACTGTCTCCTTATCTATTCATAATTGTTGTTGAATTATTATCTACATTGGTATCTGACTCTATCAACTCTGGGCATCTGATTGGCATGAAGCTCTCAAAGAATGGTCCTCCTCTGTCACATTTATTATTTGCAGATGACTCTTTATTCTTTTGCAAAGCTGATGTTGGACAATCTAATACTCTTTTGACTTTATTGGAAAAATATAGATTATTCACAGGTCAAAGTGTCAACTTACAAAAATTAGCCATATTTTTCAGCAAAAACACCCCTCAACCACTTCAAGCTAGAATTTGTGCTACTTTGCAAGGTATCTCATCCCACAGATTAACCAGATATTTAAGGTTGCCACTGGGAATTGGAAGATCCAAACTTGAAGCATTTCAATATGTCTTAGACTCTGTGAAATCAAGGCTGCAGAATTGGAAATCCAAATTGTTATCCCCAGCTGGCAAAGAAGTTCTCATCAAGGCGGTTTTACAGGCTCTACCAATATTCTTTATGTCATGCTTCCAGCTTCCCTCCACTTTGTGCTCTGAAATCTCAAAACTTTGTTCTAACTTCTGGTGGAGCAAAGGAGAGGCCCAAGATTCAGGAACTCACTGAAGTCCTAGAACTCCCTCACATTACCAAAATTTGATGGAGGACTTGGGTTTCAGGATTTAAAAACTTCAACGAGGCTCTCATCTGCAAGCAATTATGAAGAATTACTTCTCAGCCTTTTCTGTTGGTCAGTCAAATTCTGAAGGACATATACTTCCCACACTGCTCAATATTTGAAGCTGTCAAAGCCCATAATTGTTCATGGTTGTGGTCTAACTGGCTTGATGTTCTTCCCATTTTGCAAAAGGTTATGCTATGGAAATCAGAAATGCAGCCTCTACTCGGCTACCTGATGCTAACTGGGTTTCAAACCTCTCCAAGCCTCAACCTACTCTGTTGGATATTGCCAGAGACCATATCATTTGGGTTAAGGAGTTGCTCAATGCTTCAGGAACAGAATGAAATTCTTGGCTTGTTTCCCAACTTTTCAATGAGCCAGACAGTCAGGCTATTCTAAACATTAGCACTCTTAAACCAGGTATGGAAGATCGGTATTATTGGTCTTTTGATAAAAAAGGAAAATTTTCAGTTGCTAGTACATATGCCTTTATGACAAAACAGAAACTGCTAGCCTTGGACCTTCCTTGTAGCAGCTCCTCTATCTGTAACTTGAATTCCTATTTTAACAGATGCTGGAAACTTAAAGTGGTTGGTAAGGTTAAGTACTTCATCTAGAAGTGTTTTACCGGGACTTTGCCTGTGAAAATAAATCTGTTGAAAGAAGGCTTAGTTATTGACACAATCTGTCAGACTTGTGGTTGTGACACAGAAACCATTGAACATGTATTTTTTACTTGTGATCAGGCTCGCAGGATGTGGGATGTTGCACCTATTCAATGGGATGGCTTGCACTCTTCATCTTTCTCTTTTAGGTTTTGGTGGTCTCATTTGTGTTCACTAGATAAATCAGTTGTTGTTGAGGCTAAAATCCAGTTGACCACTTACATGCTTTGGTGGCTCTGGAAAGCTCGTAATTTTTGGATTTTTCAAAACACAGCACTATCTGCTCCCCATATTGTGAAAACAGTTCATAAACAGTGGTTGGAATTCTCTCAGCTCCATTGAGTTTTATTTTCAGTTTCTTTGCTAGCTGTTGTAGTATTGTTGTTGGTAGTTGTAGTTTTAGTTGTTATTTAGCTGTGTTGTGTGTTAGAATGGGCTCTCTAGGCAGTTTGCAGTGGAGAGTTGTTTGTTTTCTTAGTTTATTTAGTAGGTTGTGAGGTTCTAGGTCGCCGTGGTGCATGTCCTCCCCTTTTCTGGTTTTCAGTAGTTCTTATTGTACCCGAACTTCATTTGATTGAGTTATATATCCTCTATCGTTTGAAAAAACAAAAAAATAAAACAATCCGTTGCACTTTATCACGATTATCAGATTGCACAATAAAGATCGATACCGGCCGAACTCGAATTTTTTCAACCACAAATAAAAATAATAAATAAAATTATTAACATATTAAATATAAATTTAGTATAAATAACAAATTATTTTGATTGTTTAGGATAATTCGGTTAACTGAAACAAATAAACTAATTAAATATGTTCATTTTCAATTTAACTTAGGACAAGAGTTTTGTTGATACAATATGCACAATACAGACCGACACCGTGCACCATAGTGTTGGACTAATTGTACCTTAATAATTGTTAGATTGCATAACATGTTTCGTTTACATATATTCTAATTTTATTAATCAAACAATAGTATAAAATATCAATTAAAAAAATATAAAATACTAATATAAAATTTATGAAATTTTAAAATGAATAACCATATATATATATATTGTTAAAATTATTTAACAATATCCTATACTTAACATATTTTTTAGTAAATTATATAATTAATCAGAAATTATATTACTTTATAATTAAAGTTTTTAAAATTGCAAATTGGTCCCTTAATTTATTCAATTTTTTTTTAAAAAAACCCAAACTCCATTTAACAAAGTTGAAGGAAATTTAGTCGTGAACATTTTTTTTTTCCGGCCGTCGCATTCACCACACCGCCGGCCCCGATTTACACACAACATACAGCCGCCACCGGACCGTCGCCACTATCCGCCGCCTCATCGCATCGTCGCTGTCAGCCGCACGACTAGTTGTTTTTTTAAACCTATATGTAATAATACTATATGTTTAGTCCTTATAATATATTTTGCTTTATAATCGATTTTATACGACAGCTTTAGCCACTTGCGTTCCTTTTGGATTATTGCTATAGATAAATTTTAGTTTTTAATGATATATTTTTTTTCTTTTAATTTGTACATGAAATGTGTATTTTAAATCCAATATTGCGATAATATTATATATTGTGATAAAGAAATTTCTGTCGAGTGAGAATAGCTCTAGTTCTTACAAGTGAAGATATTAGGGTTCTGGATTATCGGTTAGCCTTAACATTTTCTCTCATTAATGTAAATTAAGTTGATGGTTGGCCTCATTTTCTTATCGTTTTTATCTCCCTGACTTGAGAACTAGTGTT